CCCAAAGATCCAGCTCATGGCAAGGAGCACAGACAAGCCCCTTTCTCAGTGAGCCCGCCTGGAGACTGCACAAACCAGATGGGCAGCATCCTCGGCACCCCGGCTACAGCCTAGCCTTTCAGGCCCTTTGTGGGTGTCACACGGAAAACCCCAGATCAACTTGCTCCAAAGCAATTTACAGTGTTGCCTCTTTTGAACCCCAAGAATAGAGAGTCACACACCTGCAGGGCTCCGCGGCACGTTGTTTTAATTAATGACTGAACAGAAGCTTCTGCAATCCCTGTGGGCACATCCGCCCTTATTTTAAAACATTCCACAAGAATTAAGCCTACCTCAGAAGGCAGTGGGGTCAACTTGTGCGTCGGTGGAAACGTCTCCCCAAGTCCTGGGCCTTTCATTTTCAAATCTGGAGCCACACACTTAGTGTAAGTAGGGAAAATGATTCACTCCTGTCATCCAGCCACTCAGCCAGCCAGCGAGTCATTCACCTCGTCTCTAGGATCTAAATGCTTACAAGTGATGCTTAACTCACCTGAACTGTGCAAGGCAGGTACAGTGCCCTCATTTTACAGACAAGGAAGTGGAACCTCAGACAGGTTAAGTAACTAGCTTAAAGTCACACAGCGAGTGAGGGCTCTTTCCATGATGCTGTGTGGTGTTCTGAGTCATGCACACTCAGCAAATGTTCCCTGACCTGGATCTCAGCATCGATTTTGATCCACAGTGATGGCTCCTTGCCAGTCTTCACTGATGCCATGCCTGCACCACCCAGAGAGGACCCATGTTGCCTTGTCAGAAGAGATGCCTGAGCGTTTCAGCAAAATGGAGACTCTTGAACTGAGCTCCTCATCTTCAGAGCTGTCCCCTCCAACCCTCCATCCACACTGGACACCAGCAATGTGTCTAAAATGCAGAATCGATCATGACACTTCAGAGCTTATCATCCTTCCATGGCTCTCAATTACCTTCAGTAGAAAGTCCACATTCACATGGACGCAGGACCCTTCATGATCTGGCCCTCGCCCACATCCTCTGTCACTTCAGTCAAAACATCCCCCCAGGCTCTCTTTGCTGTCTGCATACAACCCTCCCAGCACCCTGGGAGGCACAGACACACCTCTGTTCCCTTGTTCTTCTCTTTAAAGCCCGCTTCCCTTCCATATCTGCCCAGCTAACTCCTATTCAACCGTCAAAACTCAGCTCAAGCACCACTCCTTTGGAGAGGGTCCACCAGCGTGAGTGTGTCCACCCTCTGTGCTCCTCGGAAGATTCTCACAGCACTCAAGGGGGACTGTGACTCTGGGCTATAATGACACAGTGACAGTCAGGAAACTTTAAGGTTGCACAGGACATAAATCCCTACTCAACTGAGAATAAACAAAGGACATAGAAAATCTATCCACATCAAGGACATTTGGAGGTATAGGGGCTTCAGATGTGGTTCGATCAGGGTTTCTCCTTCAGTTCTCTCTAGTTTTCTCGGATCTGCCTTCCCAGATGTCCCAGCTTTGTCCTTAGACTAACTCCCCAATGGTGGCTACGACAGTTGCTAACAGCAATTGGGGCACTTCAGCTGGAGGGAAGAGACAGAACGTTCCCCTGACCGTCCTTCCCTTTGGTACGATGAGGCCAATTTAGGTCACATGCCCGTCCCTGGACCACTTGGCATTACAAGGGAATGCAGAACAATAATTCACTGAAGCTAAGATACTTGAATGAATTGTAGACAAGGGTGTGTGTAGGAGTCCCATGATGGGTTGAGCCCACTATGAGTCAGTTTCCCCTAATCACGGAGCTTATGTAGAGGGAGGGGTGGACACCTGGATAAAAATGGAGTCTTCCAGGAGTGGGGGAGAAGGGAATGGATGCTGTCTAAGCCACCGCAGTGGCCACTGGGTGTGCACCACGTCTGTCGTCCAGTTAGACTGTAAGCCTCCTGCCGACAAAGACCGTGATGTTTATCCCAATAACCCACCGCCCAGCACAGGACCCGGTAATCTTTGGGGAAGAAAAATGAGATGAGTTATAATTGTTAAAACATTGCTGGAGCTGAGGTTTATTCAAGGCAAATTAAGAGTTCGGGTTTGCATGAAACGAAGGGGAAAGGCACTATTTCCACCTGCTGGGTCTCTGTTTGGTATATAAATTAGGCCTTTTTAAAAGACATGTTTCTGTCTGCCAGGCTTTAGAAACAGTGATCTAAGAGTCAGACATTTCCTATTAAAGTTTTAAAAACACAGCTTTAAGCCATACATTATATTGAACACTTTCATATCTCATCTGATTCAGTAGGTTTTAAACCTCACAGAGGTCACATTTTGAAACAGTAGTCACTTTTTATAACATCTCCAAACATTAAATAAAAATAAAGATTATCATGAAGAATAGAGATGTCCACAGAGACCACTAACGTGACACTTGAATATTATTATTATTAAGAACAGTATTATTTGGAGTCTGAAGGTTACAATGGCTGGCTCATCTCTAAGCTCCATGTTTTTCTTTATTGAACTGTAGAAGGAAGGGCGCATTCTATCAATGCTCACCTGTTTAAAAAAAAACTATTTAGAACACGGGTTCTTACCTGTGGCAACTTCAGGGATGCTATGAATCCCTAAATATGTGCAAAATTGGGGGTGTGAGTATTTTCCTCCAGAGAGGGATCATAGTTTTTGCTATATTCTTAAAAGGGTTTTTGATCCACAAAAACGTTAAGAACCGCAGATATTGAAGGGAAATTCCCTCAAGATCTTGGTTGTCCCAGTAACTGGGGTTTCACATAAAGGAGAAAAGCTGTTCCCAGGGTTAGACTATTAACTTAGCTTGGCCGCTTCCGGGAAATAGGTCATTCTTGGGTTTCTCTTAGGGTGTTTTAACTTGAAGAGTTACAGAGTCACTGGATACCCGAAATGAATGGGGCTCTGTAAGGAGGAATCAGGAAGCAATTCCGCGGCTCCCACATCCGCCCAGCCCAGCCTCCCTTCCATCTCTCCCCTTCAGCCTTTTCTGACCCCACACATTGTCGTGAGCTCCCACATTTACCGTGGACGATCTGTAATCTGCCCAGCCAGTCTAGGGAGCTCCCCTCAGCTACTTTTGTAAACAGAAATAAAGCTAGTGGTTAATCATCTCTGAAATCTTGAAATTCTGATGTGTCATCCCTCAGCCATAATAGGTAAAACAGTAAAACAGTGAAAGGAAGGTAACCCAGGAGGGAACGTGGATGCGTGCGTGTGCCTGTGTGTGCTCAGGGGCGGCTCCTGGATGGTGCTGTTTGGTTCCCCCCAGGAATCATCCTTGTCAAAGAAGCGGGCTTTGTATTGTTAGTTGTCTGCTTTTTCTTTGTTTTCCTTGTTTCAGCGTTCAGTTGTATTTTACTGCTCGGAACTTGAAGGATGCATTCAAACTTATGGAGCATGACATTTTAACTATCTCATTGCACCATGATTCATCTCAATTTACTTTCCTCCAAACTGTGGACTTGAGAAAGCGCACCATCTCCGGGTTCTCCAGTGGGGAGAAGACCATACATGACACTGAATGAGCCCAGAGTCAGCTAACTTGTGAGCAAGGCTCACTGGTTAGATCCTTATCATTCTCCCAATGGGATGCTTTACTTTAGGATGGGAATGGGAATGTGGGGACACCAGCAATGGCCTCTGCGGTTATTACTGAATGTTCGGTATGAATCAGTGGAGGTTACAGATTCTGATGAACCCAGCCATCCCAAAGGAATGCAGGGGGCGGCCGGGTGCCAAGCCTAGGGGGGCCCCGCAGATCCTTCACCCCTTGTGTCTGAGGCTTCTGTTCCCCAAACACTAGCTTCACATTACCTGCAAAATGTACCCATCCCAGGACCCAGCATATTTCTGCTGGAATATACTTTACCGTCTTTAGTTGACTTCCATTTTAGAGTTCAACCTCCATTGAACTTTGGTGGTAAAAAATCAGCTCTGTCTTTCTTCTCTGGAAGCCTCTGCTTGTGAATAGATGAATTGATAATGAGGTCATGAACAAACATTATTAATGCCTTTTATTATTTATATGGATGTTAATGTGTCCAGTTGACACACAACTTTCTACCTCTGGCATCAACACTCATGACCCTTAGCACCCTCTCTCTTCCTCTCTCTCTCTTTCCATTCAGCCACAGTTATAGTGAAAGAATAATGTATCACAAGCCATGACCCCTTGGCCTTTATGAATTATCTGTTTAGAAAGATATGAAGCCACCTTTTATATCCACCATAATAGATACTTAGACATGGCGGATCAATAGTGAACAAGTTTGCTGGTTATAGTTAATGGGTACCAAAGGGACACTCTGACAGTGACCTCTGACATTGTGTCTGACAAGAAATCTTTAGAGCAAAAAATAAGGAAGACAGACAGTTTTTAAAGTTATGAATGCAGATTCAGAGCAAATCATGATCATTTTCTCCAGGTGGAAATAATTCAGACTTGCAGGAAGTCACTAATTTCTGCAAACCCCTTAATGTGGACCCCTGAACTAAAAACGGCAGTCCATTGCTACACTATTTTGGAAACAGCTATGGTGCCGGGCCTGACACAAGCCCATTTGTTATCCAAGGAGAACCAACTGAGATTGTTTTCCCGTCAAAGAGGACTTTCCTCTTTATGAAATAGGCTGTCATTTATAATTTTAAGCAGGCACAGATTTGTTAAACAGCCACATGGTAATGGGTTTCTATAAGAAGATCCACAGACCCATAGTTCTGGAAAGAAATTGAGCTTACAAGATATTTAAAAACCTAATGGGAATGGAATATTTTGGGTTTCTTGAAGAGATGGTTTCTGCTCTGTACATTGTCAAGGGAATGTAACAATAAATCCATTGTTGTGTGTCTGAGAGTCTGTTTGAGGCAATTATATTTTCATACATTCTGTGGAGTTGCTCTCAGGGAAATCCACCAGGGTGCCAAGCCCACCTTTTCATGTCACTGCACCGGGGGCTGGGGTGGGGTGGGGACTCCCGGGGACGGACGTTAACGGTGGCAAGCAGGCTTAAAAGGAGTCGGGGAAAGAGTGGAATTGTGAGTGGTCCTGAAGAGAGCAGACCGCGGCATCCCGCCTGGCAGAGAAATGAACACACGCAGCCTCCAGGCCAAGAGAGAGGAGCAAGGAGCGTGTGCAGGCTCGTCACGCGGCTCCGCACGGCCGGCCCGTGATGATGTCACACTCTGCCGCTCTCCTCCCTGGGCTCAATGGTCTCCCTGCGGCTAAGCATCACTGAAAACACATTTGTCCTGACTGTTCTTTTCTTCTCTCCCCTCTCATCTGTGTAAGATGAATCACTCCTGCATCCAGACTGACTCCGAGGGCAGAGCCAGGTCCTGACGAGGCAACCAGCCTCCTACGGCTTAAACATTTTAATTAATTTCAACACTAATGCACAAATGAGAGTTAATCACGCTGCCGCACTGCTCTCTCATTTACCAGGTTTATTCATTAAAACTTTCCTTGCTGAACTTTGATTGAATGTCATGCTTTTTTGGAAGCCTTTCAAACTGCCTTAAGGGTCTTAAAGGGACGTCTTGGGCAGCAGCTGAAAGCCTTCAGTGTTTGCTTAAAGAGAAGAGAGGGGGCAATCGCACCAGCGAGAAATCTTCTCTGTGTTGAACAAGGAGGCTTCAGGCAGCACAACGCCTCTAAATGCAGGTTTGTTTTTAAGCAATATATATATAAAAAAAGGGAAAACCTAAGTATCTAATAAAAGAAGTAAAACCAGTCACCTTAATACTCGGCAAAACTTGGAAATACATTTCACGTAAGATGTAGCCATCCTTTGAAAACCAGCAGACGACAGTGTTCATAGGGGAGAGGTGTTCCTAACAGGTTTGCCAACCTAATTATTTTGGAACCGATATAATACAAATCTTAGGTACAGAGTTTTACCCATCAATTGCTAGTACCTAAATTTTTACCGAGACATTGTTTCAATGGAGCCTTTTATTTAAAATGAACTCAAGAAAAAGGCAATCTTTGCCTCTCTAATTAGCAGTATTCAACGTTAGGCGACAAAATACCCCATCCGTCAGTTACGTGAAGGCAGCTCTAAAGCTGACACACAAGATACATGCAGTGGCTTTTCTAGTATCTGACGATGTTAGCGTCTTTAGGAATATGCTTCTTCCCCGTTTCTTTCTACTCTCCACCCTGAGTCAGAAAAATATTTCAAAAGTTTAATAAACATTCCAATAATTTGGGAGGAAAAATTCAAGACAGAGTTATTAATGGAAGCACCACTTCTAATATGCCATGAATCAAAACACAAGTTTTCATATTCATTTCAACATTCTATAGATACTGCTCAGTGTTATGCAACAAGACATGACAAACTCATTTTTAAAAGTTATTTTTAACTTCAGGGAGCAAGAAAGGTTACCCAAATTCATTCTACCTTGGAAAATGAAGCTTGATTGGGAAGTGCTCCCCTCCCACTTCCAGGGGGCAGGTCTTGTCACTACGAGTTGGCTTATGAAATATTCCGACTTCCCAGGCTCTTGAAACATCTCTTTAATAGAACCTTCTCTTCAGATATTTAATCCCTGTGTCTGCCAAAACACGACTGAGAGAGAAATACGTCAGCACAACACAGAGAAGTTGATAGACAAGTATCTAAGTGCTGAGGTCAGGCAACCTGGCTGGCAATTGTGATGTTGCTACTTATTAGCTGTGTGACCTTGGACAAGACATGTAACCTCTCTAACCACAGTTTCCTCAACCACGAGATCAGTGTTATTATAGCAGCTCTCTCACAGGACTTTTGTGAAAAGTAATAGCTAATGCACATGTAGTGACTGCTATATATAGTAAGTGGCATTTAGAGGTGTCAAACATCATTTACTCCTCACCCCAATTTCAAGAATCAGTACTGTTATAATCCCCAATTTACAGATGAGGAAACTGAGTCACAGAGAGGCAAAGTAACTTTCCCAAAGTCACATAAGTGAGCAAGCAGCAAAGCTGGAGTTTTAACACTGGTAGCCTGGCTCCCGAGTCTGTGCACTTGACGCCCTTACTACATTCAAGTTACAGGATGTACGCAGAGGATGCAGGATGCTGCCCGGCCCAGGGAAGAGGTTAGTAAGAGCTGGCACTTGTTGGCTTTTATTATGATAGGTGTTCAATAAACACTCGTTGGCTAGTTGGATAAGTGAATTCTGTTAGGGAGCCTTGAAACCCCAGAGTACACACACTTCTGCTAACAAACCACTGACACCGAGTCACAAGGAACACCTTTCAGTCTCTGTTGGTCTCAGTGGATGGAAACATCTGGGCACACCAAACTACGGTTGCTATTTTACTCCTACTTGAGGCGAAAGAAAAGAAAAGAAAACGATGAGTAAGCTCTTTCCTATGCAGACAAGAGAAATCTAGACCGGATTAATAATCTAAAACAGATTAGTTTTTCTTGATTTTTAGTATAAAACCAAAATGGGATCATGTAGTGTTTGGCACCTGGCTGATTTTGCTCTATGCTGTGTTTCTGAGATCTGTCTATGACGTCACATGTAGCATAAATCCATTTCTTTTCAGTACTGTATACTATTCCGCTTTGTGCCTATGCCACAGTTTGTTTATCCACTCAGCTGTTGCTGGGCATTTGTGTGGGTCCTCGTGGAGCTGTTACAGACAGTGCTCCCATGAAATTCCTGGACATCGTTTGGTGGATTTCTGCATTTCTGATGGGTATTTACCCAGCAGTAGGATTGATGGGTTTAGGGTACAGCTAAATTCAACTTCAGTAGATGGGGCACATGTGTCTTTAAAAAGCACCACAAGTGCTTCTGATGAGCAGGGGGCTCGGGAACCGCTGACCTCAGCTGTGAGGCCTTGGAGCTGACCCCACTGGCGTTCACTGTGTGAGAGGGTGAAAGGCATTTTAAAACTCAATGGGAACGGAATAGTTGGCATTTCTTAAAAAGTGGCCTCTAAGATAAACAAACAAACACATAGATAAGGAGAATAGATTAGTGGTTACGGGGCCGGGGGCGGGGGACAGGGTGAAAGGGGTAAAGGGGCACAGGCGTATGGTGACAGATAATAAGTGGACTGTTGCCGGTGAGCACGATGCAGTCTATACAGAAACTGACATATAGTGACGCACACCTGAAATCTACATGTGTTGTAAGCCAATGTGACACCCATAAAATAATTTAAAAATTGATAAAGTCTATTAATACCCAATGACTCTCAGGGTTTAGGACCAGGAAAATTCTTCTAATGAATTCACTATTTACTGCTATTGAAAAAAAAAATAAAGAAATAAATACTGGCCTCTGTCCTTCAGCTTGAAAGGAAGCGGTTACACTAGAGGTGGTGAGCGCCAGGGGCGAGGGCTGTGGAGCCAAGCAGCAAGAAGAGTAAGGCATGTGTCAGGTGAAAAGTCTCCACACCAGGCGCCCCCACGGGATCTTGTAGAGCACGACAGCCTCGCAGGCTCTTCTGAGATACCAGGCGGGAGGGGCACCCTTTGCTCTCTAGCCTGGCCTTCTGCTCTCTGCCCCCGCACAGGCCCCACCCCTCCGCCCCTCTCCTGCCCACGACCCACCTCTTCTGAGAAGCCTTCCTTGTCCCTGCCTTTGTCGCACTGGACTGAGGGCCCCTTGAAGGCAGGGCCTTGACTTACCCATCTCGGCACAGCCAGGCGCTGCTGTGCATTTTCAATCAGTGCTCACTCAGTACTTTAAGGAAACTATTCCTTAACCCAACAGGCCTAAAGGAGCAGCTTCTCCACACAGTTTCAGGGCATTAAAAGGCATTGATCGTGTACATGTTTCCAAATGGTCCTTCGTTTGGGGTCTTTCAGATCAACATAATGCCCATGTGAGCACAGGCCCACTGACCCTGACCGGGACACGTGGAGGGGACCAAGGAGGACAGGACAAACCTTACAGGAACCAGTTAATTGGTTAACTGATCAATTAATTATTCACATGATACACAAACAGAAGAGTGTTTTCTTGGGCTTACAGGGAGCCAGGATTTGGCTGTAGGACCAATGTGATGGGTGAAGCTCACCGGACTTTCTGTTCGTAATTAACCCTCCAGCATGGTTGTCACAAAGGTGGGAAAGGAGCAGAAAGACACTCTTCCTTGGCGATAATACCATTCCCAAATGATTTAGAAGGAGAAGTTTCTGAGCAGGGTTGCTGCATACAACTGTGCAGGGTGTGCACTGCACAATTCCAGGGTACAAAAATGAGCCCCATGGCATTTAAACCTCCTTAATTTCATCTGTGAAAACTAACTCAAAGGGTTATTGTGAAGATTAAAAGAGCTACCATTTCCAAAACAGAGAACACCATGCCTGATGATGATTTGTTGAACAGATTTTTGTTAAGAACCTGCTCTTAGTGGGTATTCATGGAATTTATAATCTAGGGCAGTATGTAGACATTAAATTAATAAATAATACTTACATATTGCAGTGAGTGCTCTGAAGAAAAAAACCCCAGAGAACAGTGGAATGCATGGGGGGTAGGTACGGGCAGGGGGGCCTCTCTGGGAGGTGGCATTTGGGCCAAGCGCAGGGGCAAGTCCGAGTCCCCTTAGCAGAGTGTGGGAGGAGAAGGTGGCTTCCTGGCTGAGGTTCAGCACGTGCAGGATGTGGCTGGAATGCGGACATTATGGGAGACACTGGTCTGAGCGGCCGTGGGAGTTCTTGGTGTGCGCTCTTTCCTGCTCTCTTCCTTGGTTCCCAGGTCCTATAACTCGGGCATCCATTCCAGCCCCTGGACACCAGCTGGTGAGTGATGTCACCTGGTGAGTGTCCTAAACCATTATGATTCAACCATATTAGGAGGGTCTACAGCCATAGGCACAACCCTCATAGGAATAGCTGATGCGGGTGACACTGGACTTTGGGGACCCCCTTCTCTGCCTCTTTCCCCCTTTTCGTGTGTCCTTCAGCCAGTTCTCCTCGGCACTGACTGGGCCCCACACATCCCACTGTAAAGCCCTACATACATCTTCCCAGGAAGCGTCCTGGCTTCAGAGCTTCCCCATGCTTCTTTCCTTTCATCCCCATCCAGCCTGGTCTTTTCTGTGTCCAGTTCCTTCGGGGCCTGGCTAAATGCCTGCCTGGTTCGTTTGATTGTTCAAGTTAAGTTTATAACAGCTTAGTAGGTTGACCCTTACATGGGATTTGTAACACTTATATTCCGGTAGTTGCTCTCAGTATCCTGACAGAGACAAAAACTCATATGGAAGTTTGAAGCATAGTGAAAGAGCCAGTGGGGTGGACTTTTGGGTGGCTGACAATCCTCAGATCTCATCACAATGGTCAAGGTGCAGTGGGCAGTAAGAAACTTCTATCCCACAGGCCAGAGCCAGGCCTTGACATAAAGCAGTCAACACTCAGGATGCTTGTCTTTGCTGAGGGCTTGCACGGCTTTCCCAGTCTCACCAGTTTCTGAGCGATGGGTGGGAAAAGAGTAGCTGGAGAGCCCTGAACATCACGAATCCACTAACTACCCTCCAGAGGGAGGCCCAAGAGGGGATTCCCTCATCACTGGGCAGCACGTCCTCCCTCTCTGGAGGGCTTCTCCTGGCGTTGACCAGTGTCCCAAATTAGAAACCATGACTCCATTTTTTGGTTGTCAGTTAGTCCATGCTAGAAGGAGAGCTGGCTTTCCTTGCAAATACCAAACAGGTGATAAGAAAAAAAAAATTTCTGCAAAACTGGATGACCGACCTCACCCGTAAGGTGGGGGATCAACAGCCCTCTCCCTCACGGAACTATGAGGACTGAAAAAACCAATGCAGGTCCTCAGGGTTGAGCACATGGAAGGTACCAAGAAAAGGACATTGTTACAGCTCCTTGTCCAAAACCCTTGGGGCCAGACGTGTTCCTGAATTTAGACTTTGTCCGACTTTAGAAAGGTCCTGTGGTGCACATATGATATACTATGTAATATCCCCAGTGGAGTCTGAGGAAACACGTTAATATTTTCTGTCATTAAACATACTAATATTTCTTTAATGAAATGTATGCGCATTCTCACTAAGTGGAATAAATAAAGACTATAGCTAATTTTCACATCAGTTCAGGCTGTGTTTTATCACCGCAGTGGGCTGGATGCTTGCATGCCTCCAAAATTCATATTTTGAAATTCGAACCCCCAGTTGATAATATCAGGAGGTGGGGTCTTCCGGAGGAAATGAGGTTATGATGGGATTACGAATGGGGTCATGAGCCCTCATGAATGGGATTAGTGCCCTTATAAAAGGGGCCCCAGAAGGCTCTCTTGCTTGCTTTCTGCCATTTGAGGACAGAAGGAGAAGCTGGCAGTCTGAAACCTGGAAGAGCCCACCCACGCTGGCGCCCTGATCTCAGACTCTCTCCTCCAAAACTGGGAGAGAGAAATTTATGTTGTTTATAAGCCACCCCGTCCGTGCTACCTTGTTACAGCAGCTTGAACTGACTAAGACAGTCACCAGAAGAGTTTGCGCCAAATTTATGAAAAACACCTTTTGTTTCCAGAACTTAATAGATTGCAAATAAGAGATTTCTATTATTTTATTTCTACAACTCAACTAGTAAGATTATTCTCCTTCCCTCACCCCCTACTAGCCATTTAAGCACTCTTTGCTTATTTTTTCCGATTACACTTTGAAGTGCAGACACTGAAAGTTCCTGATATGCTAACTGAGGGCATAAGAGCTGATATGTAGACATACTAGAGAGCGGATGGTTCTATGTTACTCTACGATGAAGCCTAGAACCTCAGAGAAGCAAATTTTAGCTCAACATAAGAAGAAATTTGATCTACGAAATTTGATCTAAGAATGTCCTGGCTTGGCACAACAAACGAAGATGTTCGGATGTTACCAAATGCTGGTTGTGAGCAAGGTTCGGGAAAACAGCGATGACTTGGGCCTGTTCCCTACGCTACAACTCAAGGAGCCAGAATCTGGCCTCTTGGTCCATTAAGTGTTTATTAAGCATCTTATATTTTCACATTCACTTCTCTGAATTCTTTCTCCTTCTTACCTTTAAATATTACGAGAAGTCATTTACTAAAGAGGAACCCAGGATGCAGAGGCAGAAGAGCAGAGCAATTGCAGCCCCTCAGTTTCGAGGCTTCTCTAGGCCCGTGAGCCCACCTGCCGACGCCCTGCCGCTCGGCGCCATTCCTCGTGGTCTCTGGGCCCTAATGAGCCCCCCGGAGATCTCTCTCAGATCATCAAGGAGGACAGAGGAGTTCAGGGCTCCGGCGAAGCCAAAGGTGCTGAGTACTCAAGCCGTTCATTATCAGCACGATGAACGCCGACAATGGCTTATACTGTCAGCTTACACACTTAATTTAATTAATAAAAAAATTAAGATCGTCACCATTAACCTGCATTTGCTCAGAATGCCACAGGGGTGATTAGTTAGAACGGCACTGAAGATTTTATAGTGCACTCCAGTAAGAATTACTTTGGTACCAATTAGGATCTTCCATAATATTACGCCGCGTAATACCCCCACCACATTACACATTTTCCACAAGTGATTGAGTTCAGTCCCACGCAGACACGGTGTCACAGGACTCTCCCTCAGAGCACACACGGGAACGCCCACAAATGTTAGCTCCCTGACTCAGTGGAGAGGAGACCCTGGTTTTTATATGATACAAGCCCATTTCAAGGGCAATGATTCCCTGTCGCAGTTTCTCAGAGCATCAGGAAATTAGGCTCACACGTGGCGACAGAGGCGTGGGCACATACAGGCTCTCCTCCCTCCAGCATCTCAGATCTAAAATGCTCCTTGCTCCAGATGGGAATTTTTATTTTTCCAAGTCTATTTGACTTTGAATAGCTCACTTTTAGAGCCAAAGAAGAGCAAAGCATTCAGGTGACATTTCTATAACTTAAAAAGAAAACCAGTACATGAGTAATGTCTGTTCACTGAAGAAAAATAAAATGGGAAAACACAGATTAAAAAAAGAGTATATAAATCACGCATGCAGGCCGTCCCGGTGGTGCAATGGTTAAGTTCACGTGCCCCCCTTCGGTGGCCCGGGGTTTGCATGTTCACATCTTAGGTTCAGACCTACACACCGCTCATCAAGCCATGTGGTGGCAGTGTCCCACACACAAAATAGAGGAAGATTGACACAGATGTTAGCTTAGGGCCAATCTTCCTCACCAAAGGGGGAAAAAAATCACTTATGATCCTACATCCTGAGAAGTCCATTTACTACTTGGTTATATATCTTTCCAGATTTTTTTCCATGCAGACAAAATTTTATAATTTTTAAATGTAAATGGGACCATATTATCTATGCTGATTCATTCAGCAACAATAAGAACATCAACATCTAGTCAGGTCAACGATTATTTTAAATTATCTTTAAAAATTTCATTATAGCTTTTACCTGTATTCACTCAACTAATCATTTACTGGGGATTTCCAATTTCTTAACATTATTCACATCAACTGTGGTGAGCACTTTACTGGAAAAAGCTTTGGGCCCGTTTTAAATTATTTCCGTAGAGTATGTTCTTAGAAGTGGAGTTGCTGTGTCAAAAGTTATGTGCATTTTAAGGCTTTCGATATCCTTTCCCAAATCTCCCTGCAAAAACGTTTCGCCAATATTTGTTCCCATTGGTATCCTCACTGAAAAAAGGTTTTTAAAATTCTCATTCTTTTTTGTCTTTGCTCATTGGATAGAGGAAAAGTGTTGTTTCAGAAAAATCTTTGTAGTCTGGGTCAAAAGGAGGGGTGTGATCTGCGGAGACAGACAGGAGGGAGGACTGGGGGCGTGGCATGAGATATTAAATACTCAGATATCCCGAGGCTCTGATTGTTCAGGAAACATTTATTGAGCTCTCAGTCTCTGCCCAAGGGAGTGTCGGGGTGTGTGGGGGGGTGGGGTGGTAGAGGTCAGGCACCACAACAGACAACAAAATACAGAGTGGGAGCCTGTAGTGGAGACGTGGGCAGGATGCTATGGGAGTATGTGCAGTCAGGGAAGGCTTCCTAGAGGAGGCAGCCTTGACCTGAGACCTGGAGAAGGAAGAATTGGTCAGAGGGTGGTAGGAAGGCTCCAGGATGAGTCCAGCATGGCTTAGGAAAGGACTGGATCAGCTCTCTCCTTTGTACAAATTTGTATTGGCGGCCTTCTCTGTGTCAGGCACTGTTCCAGGAGGTGGGGACAAGGTAAGGAGCAGAGACTCCATCCCCTCCCTCACAGGGTTTCAGTTCTAGCTGGGGGTTGCTGGAGCCACAGCCTCTAGAGCCCGTTGGACCTACTGTGTCAGCCATCAAGGCCAGGCCGCGGCTGTCTCACCCCCGACGGCCCCCGATGAGATCGGACAGGGAGGACGGAGGGCCGTCCCCAGGAGGAGGGCAGGCGCCCCGCTCGAATACCGACGTGCGCAGAAAGCAGCCCACAGAGGCCTCTGCTCCGAGGACTCTCATCAGGCTCCTGTCATCGCTGCCCCTGCGGCCTAACCAAACTGGACTTCTCATTTCCTAACAGTGTACCTGACCCTCCCCCAGGTGTTTTTCCCTCACTGCTTTTCAAAAATAAACAAGAAAAACCTACCTCCTTCCTCTGTTGCATCTCCTGGACGCAGCCCATGAGGCCGGGCAGGCCACAGTGACTCAGGCCCCTTCCAGCCTCGGAGCAGACAGCTCGAGTCCCACTCGACCTGGCCTGATGACTCAGAAGAGATGGGACAAGAAAGTGGCGCAGGAATGGTAAAAAGAAGAGCAAGTCACCCTGGGCCCTAGGTTTTCTTTCTTTTTGGTCAGCAGAACTTTACAAATACTTCCACATTTTGTTTCCTTTTCTCCTCCCTCCTAAAGCTGGCTGTCCATAAAAAATTCAGGATGGATGTTCATCCCCTGAATGTCTTGGGTAATTGGATGGAATTTCCAGCAAGTGTCAAGTATTTAGGATAAAAAAAATCTCTCCTGGGGCTGGCCCCGTGGCCGAGTGGTTAAGTTCGCGCGCTCCGCTGCAGGCGGCCCAGTCTTTCGTTGGTTCGAATCCTGGGCG